TGAAGAAGAAGCATGGAATCTCTTTCAGGAGATGGCTGGAATTTCCAACAACACAAGTCACACAAGTACTGATTTGTATATCACACAGAAGAAAGTTGCGGATGAATGTGGATGTTTGCCGATTGCTATTGTTACAGTTGCGAGGGCACTCAAAGGTAAAGATGAGCAGTCATGGAATTCAGCCCTTCTACAGTTACGTAAGTCCATGGTAAAAAACATCAGGGAAGTAGAAGAAATTGTGTTTAAATCTCTGGAGTTGAGTTACAACTTCTTAGGAAGTAGAGAAATTAAGGAATGCTTTTTGCTCTGCTCTTTATATGCTGAAGATTTTAATATTCCAATTGAAGATCTCGTTAGATATGGAGTTGGAATAGAGATGTTTGAGGCCATTGATAGTGTCAAGGAAGCAAGAGACAGAGTACATGCCTTTGTCGATGACTTAAAAAAAGGCTATCTCTTGATGGATAGTGAGCAAGAAGGTTGTGTTAAAATCCATGATGTAGTTCGTGATGTTGCTATATCAATAGCATCTAGGGAGGAGCATTCATTTATGGTAAGATGTGACGAAGCATTGAAAGAATGGCCGGAGAAAGAACGACACAAAAATTACTCTGTAATTTCATTGCAATGCACTGGTATGAGCAAGCTGCCTGATAATCTAGAATTTCCAAAACTCCATCTTTTACGGCTAGAGGACAATTATGGGTACAATTATGCATCAGAACTACCAAATCTCCCAGATAGTTTCTACGGAGGGATGAAGGAACTCAAAGCTTTAAGCATGTTGAATGTGTACATAGAAGGATCACTGCCGACATCCCTGCGATGGTTGACCAACCTCCGAAGCTTGTCACTATACAAATGCGGACTCATCAATGATGTATCTGTAATAGGAGCGTTAGAGAATCTAGAAATTTTGAGTTTCGTGGGCACCGAAATAGAGGAGTTGCCAAAAGAAATAGGTCGGCTTAGTCACTTGAAGCTACTAGATTTGTTGCGATGTGGTGTGGAAAGGATTTGCCCAGGTGTTCTGTTGAGCTTATCAAAACTAGAAGAGTTGTATCTTGGGTCTGGCTTTAATGATGAAAACAGGATAGAAGAAGCTAAAGCGACTTTCACTGAGCTGTGTGGGTTGTCTAATTTTACAACTTTGGTCATTCGCCTACCACATTTTGCATACTGGCCAAGAGACTTGGTCCTTACGAATCTAAAAGCATTCGCTATAGCCATTGGGATCCCTCCTAGATATTTATCTAGGAGGATGCTTGACACTAGTGATTATCAGTTACAAAACCAGTTGAGTCTCAAGGATCTTCACGAGAGCGATCTTATGGAGAGTATGTTCAAGAATCTTCTCAAGATCACTAAAATTGTAGAAATAACAGGAGCAGTAGGTGTGAAGAATGTTGGCTATGATTTAGACAAAGATGGTTTCAAAAAATTAACAGCATTGTCCTTGAAACATTGTCAGGATGTGGAATATGTCATTGACACAACAAATGGGGTTCCAGTTCCACAAATAGCCTTCCCTGTGTTGCAGTCGCTATGTCTCGAAAATTTAGATAAATTGAAAGAGATTTGTCATGGCCAACTACCAGAGGAGGCCTTCAGTGCCTTGAAAAGGCTGAAACTATGGGACTTGCCCTCATTGACACATTTGTGGAAGGGTCCTACTCAACTTGTACGGCTCCGCCACCTGACTTCTCTAGAACTGAAGTACTGTCATAAATTGGAAAGGATGTTCTCATTATCCATAGCCAGAGATCTGATGCAACTACAGATACTTAATGTATCTTATTGTGGTAAGATGGCAGTACTTATTGCGAGTGAAGAAGGAGATCAAAATGAGATAGCATCAACAACAACAGAAGCAACAGATAAAATTGTGTTTCCTAAACTTGAGGTCTTGTATCTCCATGACCTGCCAAGTTTTACTGCAATCTGCGAGGCTATGAACGGAATTGAGTTGTTGCAATTGAACAGGCTGGAACTCCGCGAGATACCAAATCTCAATAGTTTTTGCAATGCTTCGGATTAGGCCTGTCAACGGATCGGGTATAACCCGAATCCGATCCGATTGAGATAGCATCAACAACAGATAAAATTGTGTTTCCCAAACTAAAGGAATTGTATCTTGAAAGCCTGCCAAGTTTTACTGCTATCTGCGAGGTTATGAATGGAATTGAGTTGCTGCAATTGAACGAGCTGAAACTCTGCGAGATACCAATGCTCAATAGTTTTTGCAATACTTCGGACAGCAATTACGATACCATTCAACCTCTCTTCAATAAGGTATGCTTCTTTCACTTCAGATTGTAACGAGTTGAATCTAAACTCAATTTGTTTTTTTATCGATACTTGTTTAATAATTTTTTTAGTGTGTTTTTGAGTTCGGGTATTATTTAGAGTTAGATTGATATGAATTTTTAAATTACTTAATTATGTTTGTTATATGGTAGACCATTCTATTTAAATTGATAAAAATAAATTATATTATTTTTTTATTTCAACTTCGTGAGGTCCGCTTGACAGTTTTTTTTTTTTTTAATTATTCTTGAGTCTTAAGTGTTAAATCTCCGTTCAAAAATGATACTAGATTTGAATATAAATTTAATTTTTGAGTTTTATTTGATTATTCCATATTTAATTATTTTGGCTCATGTTTAATTATATGAATACTGGGATCACCTGGAGTCCTTTTAAAGTTATTTTATATTCTAGTCTCATTTGATAAATTATTTTAAATTATTAAATTTGATTTATTTTTGAACTTAATTGATTGAGTGACAACTCATTTATAATTACCAGTTGTACTTATTATTGTCAATAAGTCTAGAGAGCTTCTCAGATTTATGAAAATTTATCATAATCCACATGACAGCCACCTTAACGTGGGGATTCTTTTATTTGAAAGCAAACAAATAAATAAACAAAAACAAAGAAAAAAAAAAAGAAAGTGCACCGTAAAGGCTTTTTTTATTATTATTTAAATGCTTTTTTGTTTTGTTTTGTTTTGTTTAGTAGGAATAATTCTTTTTCTTGTACAAAAATTAATTATAGAAATGAAAATATATATATATATATATATATTTTCAGTAATACTAGGTATCATGAAAAATCTTTCATAAAAATAATCATGAAAGTTTTGTGACCCTTGGATTATACTTAGAATAAAGTAGCACACACTAATCAAGGTAATTCAAGGATCATAAATATTTCATGATTGTTTTCATAAATTTTTTTTTAATGATTCCTAACTTTTCTCGTATATTTTATGTAAGTACGAAATTTACAAAAGATGTGACCCATCACTTGAGAGGATTGTATCAGATGTTGTAATTTATGTGTTTTTAAACTTTTTTTGGAACTTGTGCTACAACCCTACTTTGCAAAGAACAATATGCAAAAGAATAAATTTATTTTTAAATATCAACATTTTTTTTGCGTTTTCTTACCGTTAAAAATTTCGTAAACCCCTTATTCAATTTTCATAATTTTTTTTCTGAAAAAAATCAAAAATTAGTTTGGTGAAAAAAAAAAAGAAAAAAAACTCATTATTTTGATATGGTTCTCTTTTTGGGTGAAAAATAGTTTTGGAAATTTTAAAATTTTAATTTTGGTAATTATTTTTATCAAACTAAAAAAGAATAAATTTATTTTTAAATATCAACATTTTTTTTGCCTTTTCTTACCATTAAAAATTTAATAAACCCCTTATTCAATCTTCATAATTTTTTTTCTGAAAAAAATCAAAAATTAGTTTGGTGAAAAAAAGAAAAAAAAACTCATTATTTTGATATGGTTCTCTTTTTGGGTGAAAAATAGTTTTGGAAATTTTAAAATTTTAATTTTGGTAATTATTTTTATCAAACTAATTTTTAATTTTTGAAAAAAATGAATTAAAAATAAGTAAAAAATAACGCAACCAAATAAAGTTTATCTAATAATGTATTCCATGCGCAGACGAAGAGATCTAAGTTTATTTATACTAAACGAAAGAAAAAAAAAAAAAAGAAGTTAAATAAAAAAAAATCTTATGGAGCACTTTGTTTGTTTGTTTATTTGTTTTCTTTTTAAAAAAAATAACACCCAAGGTTGTGTCAAGTGGATTATGATAAATTTTCGAATAAAATTAGGAGGCTCTCTAGATTTTTATTTATTTATTATTATTATTATTATTTATTTTACTACTAAGTTTTTATTTACTACTATGAGAGAGTTATGGATATTTATAATGTGTACCATCAAACAAAATATAATTTGCAATGAGGAAACAATTATACCATTTTATTGTTTATGTCACAATATTATAGTGTTACTAAAATTGTATTTGTTATTATATATATATATAGGTACATATAGATATAGACATTGAGATAGATATTATAAAAAATAATAATAATTAATAAATAAATGAAGTTTTGATGGGAGAGCAGAGACCATGTGGGGTACTCCCCTTTTTTTCGGTAAATTACACAGGTACTCCTGAGATTTTTGTTTAATATAGATCCCTTTATATTTGAAAAATTATACTCACTTTCTTATCAAATTAAAATGACATATTTGTCCTTTAACCTTTATACATATAAAATAACAAAATAATATAGATATTTTGTTCATGTTATTTCAAAGAAAATAACAATAATCTTTTTTGATTTAACTCACATAAAAAATTAAGTTTGTTTATTTTTACTGATTTTTTTAACATTTTAAGCAATTTTTTTAAATTTTTTTTAGATACACCTAATTTAGATATACTTAAGAATTATAATATTTTGTGATTTTTTTTGAAAAAATTCACCAAATACAAAAAAAATAAAATAAAAAAACAAAAATTCAATACATTATCTTATTTTGTTGTATTCAATGATTTTTTTTTTAAATTTTCTTATATAAATTTTATACTTTTTAAATATATCTAGATTAAATTGATCTAATCTAAGTATAATGGTGGAAACAAAAATAAAAAATTATATTCATATATAAAAATTTATACAAAAAAATCATAAAAATATGATGATAATGATGTTATAAATATAAATCATGTTTATAAGTGTTTTGTTTTAAAATGAAAGGTGAGCTATCATTGTGTTTGAAAATTCTATATAAAATTTATATTTGTATATTATCACTGAATAAGAATATGTTTACGTAGAATTTAATGATGAAAAGTTGTAGAACGTAATCATGATGATAAGAGAAAAAAAAAAAAAAAAAGGAAAAAAGGACAAGATGGTCATTTAGAAAATTTTAGAGGATGACAACAACAATTTAAGAGGTAATTTGTTATGGGATTACAAATCTCAGGAAGAATAATATAATTTTTCAAATGTGAAGAAGGGATTTGTATTAAATATAAATCTTAGGGGTGTTAGTGTTATTTATTTATTTATTTCTGTGGTAAGATAGGGCCCAAGCCAAGAAAACCAAAGCTTAGTTCAAAAAAAGAAAAAAACGAAAACAAAAGCTAACAATTAACTGCTAGAGAGATCAAGCAAACAAACTTGCTTAACCTCCCGCAATCAAACTAGACAAAGCTAATCACTGTGTTTGATTTTAATTTCTAAATTTAATTTTTTGAAAATAGATTTTTTTATTTTTTGTATTTTAAAAAAATCAATAAATATACAAGAATATAAAAATGTACTGAATTTTCGTATTTTTTTTAAAATATTTTTGCTATTTAGTGATTTTTTTTAAAGATTTTTTTCACAAATATTTTACTTTTTAAGTGTATTTATGTTAGGTGTATCTAAAAATTAAAAAATTACTTAAAATATTAAAAAAATCAATAAAAATACAAAAAACAATAAAGTAAAAAATTTTACCTCTGTCTCTTTTTCTCTTCCTTTCTTCTGTCTCTCCCTTTTTTAAATAATTTTTTTATTATCACACAAAACATTCGATCCACCATATCTAGAGTTAGAATCTCACCTTGCTATTTTGATACGGAATATAGAGTGTGTTGAGGTTTGACCTGAGCCAATCGCGTTTTTGATGCATTTGATTTTGAGACTTTTCTTTTCCTCTTTGTATATTTGTTTTACCTTGATTGTGTGGTATTTTTTGTTAGTTATGATTTTGAAGAAATTGAGGTCTTTTATTTTTTATATATATATACATATATTGTACAAAAATTAGGATTTGCTCATATTTTATCAAATGTTTAAAATTCTCTACCCAAAATGATATATGGTATATAATTTCAAAGTGTCATATTCAAGATTTTAAAAAGCAACCGGAACCATTACTAACGTCGTTATGTAATGATTGTGGTGGTTATCATCGCTACCCGTTATGACCGCTATAGTGGTGTGACAGAAATTCATGACCGCAATGGCCGCCACCATTACGTAAAAGCCGTAGCGGCTATTACGTAAAGGCTGTAGCGGCCGTTACATTGCCGCTACAGTACTGTCACAGCCGTTACACACAGAGACACACACACAGGCACACATATATATATATATATATATATATTATTTTTATATAAATTTTGCGTATTTTGCTATTCTCTCTCTTTATTTTCTAGTTACGTAAAATTTAAGTAAAAATTTTATCTATATATATTTTGAATGTCCAATCTTCCAGTTCTACAAGGTTTAACTACATTTTTACTTAATTATATTTGCATATGAACTTAATATATTTCTCTTATGTTAAATTTATTGAACAAAATTTAGATTTCATGTTACGTACTTTTACATTATTATGTTGGACATTTTGTATCTTGAATTTTTATTTATGAGACTATTGCTTTTAATATTCATTTTTTTTAACAAATCGAAAAAGTTATCCATAATTATAATCAGTAAAGTAATGAAAATTAAATAAATTCAACAATAGGAAAATTTTTCAAAGCAACTTAAAACTAACATAAAAATTAGTATATATATTGGATCATTTTTTAAAACTAAACAAAAATACTAAAAATCATTTTGAGCCTCACTAAATGTGATTCTGAAATAAAAACATGCATATCGGTATGCTTTCTTAAAGTTGTGCAAAGAATTAAAAAATTATGTTACGTACTTTTACATTATTATGTTTGACATTTTGTATTTTGAATTTCTATTTATGAGACTATTGTTTTTAATATTCATTTTTTTTTAAACAAATCGGAAAAGTTATCCATAATTATAATTAGTAAAGTAATGAAAATTAAATAAATTCAACAATAGGAAATTTTTTCAGAGCAACTTAAAACTAATATAAAAATTAGTATATTTATTGGATCATTTTTTTAAAACTAAACAAAAATACTAAAAATCATTTTGAGTCTCACTAAATGTGATTCTGAAATAAAAACATACATGTCGGTATGCTTTCTTAAAGTTGTGCGAAGAATTAAAAAATTCACGGCTCCAGTTCCTGCCACAGTTACACAACGGTAGTTATACTCCGCAACCGCGTCTGTATTACCGCTACCATTTCACTAACCGCCACCGTTATTTAAAACTTTGGTTATATTTAAATTAAGAAAACTCTAAATTTTTTTCAAACCCTAGAAAATTTGAGAAATGAAAAATGTGATTTTGAATAGGATTAAATTGTTGGAATAATGTGAAAACTGGTGATTTATTATGGAGATTGTGAATTTCCTTGGAGATATTAGTTATCTTGAATTTATTGGATTTATTGGAAATAATAGAAATTATGAAATATGGGATATATGTTGGAGTAACTGATGAGTTTATTGGAATCTCATACTATTTTGGAATTATTGAGAATGTTGAGTTATGCTCTAAATATATTTTCTTATTGAAATATTTTGTTATAGATTACTGTTTCATGCATCCATTGCACTTCCATGGCCTTACAATGAGATTGTGCTATTATTTTGAAAATATTGGAAATGTTGATAACGTGGTAAATCTGAATAGGGGATGTAATTGTGGATTTGACAATTAAGTTGGTTTGAGAGTCATCGTAAAAGTCCTAAAACACGAGCGGAATAGGTATCAGTTTCCTTCTGGTTAGTAGCCGTTAAAGTAGTATTTGGTAGTGCTTGAGAGTCTACTTGCAGACGCATACTACGAAATTCCAATGTCTTATTTAGGCCTTGTTTGGGAAGTTGGCAATTTTAGTAGGCTATTGTAGTTTTTAACTATTTTAGTAGGCTAAAATTTTTGTGTTTGGGAAGATGGTTGGATTTTTTTGTAGTTAGATGTGATATTTGTGAGAGAAAAAGTGAAATGATTTTGGGTTTGATGTGACATTTTGTCTTATTGGCAATTTAACCTTTTGTCTTTTTGTGAATTTTAGCCTAAAAAGCCCAATTTTAGCCTTTGCCAAACAAGGCCTTACTAGCCCGATGTTTTGAAATGAAAATGTTGAAATGATATTATTTTGAAAGTTGTGCATTGAGCATCCTATTGAAAAAAAAAAAAAAAAAAGCTTATATTTTAAGCATAGCACACATCATTGCATTCATGATCATAATCTTGTTAATCTCATATACATTGTTAATATTATATCTACTGGGCATCAGTGTTCATCCCTTCGTGGAAAATCATTTTTAGTTGTTGGTGATTTGCCTCCGCCTCATTGAAGGCTCGTGATGTGATTTTTGGAGCATGAATGCTCCATTTTGTTTGCTTATTTTTGTAAAGCATTGGTTTATATGTTTGGGTAGAGACCCATTCTTTTTGTAATAGAGTTCTAACCATTGTAACTTGTAATCCATTAGGGCATTTAAATTTTGAATATTTATGTGGTATTATATCACATGTTATAGATCCATGCTTTGGAAATTGTGAATGTGTAATCGTATGTAATCTCTTTTGTAAATCTCAAATTATAATGAAATGAAATATAACAAGAAAAGAGAATTATTTTGTATATGATTATTGTTGAATCTTGATAAGATTTTTGGCTTCCGCATGTTAATTTGATTTGGTTTGAAAAAAAATAAGAAATATGAGTTTGATTTGTTTCATCGGATTTTATGAAAATTGGAGCATTACAGGTGGCCTTCAGTGCGTTGAAAGGGCTGAAACTATGGGAAATGCCCGCATTGACACATTTGTGGAAGGGTCCTACTCAACTTGTACGACTTTGTAACCTCACTTTTCTAGAGCTGGAGAGATGTGATAAACTGGAAAGCATGTTCTCATTATCCATAGCCAGAGATCTGATGCAACTAAAGATACTTCGTGTATCTGAATGTCATGAGTTGGAAGTACTTATTTCGAGTGAAGAAGAAGGAGATGAAAATGAGATAACATCAACAACAATAGAAGCAACAGATAAAATTGTGTTTCCTAAACTAGAGGACTTGGATCTCCATGACCTGCCAAGTTTTACTGCTATCTGCAAGGCTACGAATGGAATTGAGCTGCTGCAATTGAAGAAGCTAACACTCAGCCAGATGCCAAAGCTCAGTAGTTTTTGTAATACTTCGGATAGCAATTACAGTACTATTGAACCTCTCTTCAATAAGGTATGCTTCTTTGACTTAAGCTTATTTATTTGTTTATTTATTTAAGCTTCATTGCTGTGGGACGTTTATAAATTTAGTTATTATTTTGCTATTTTCATATGACCTTTTGGGCTATAATGAGAACGTATTTTGGATTGAATATGTTGTTGGACGAAAAAATAAGAACGTCAAACTACATTTGAAATTAATTAGTATTTAGGAACAAATTTCTCTTTTTATGAGTCGTATTTCTTTAGACAAAATACATTTAATTCTTCTAGTTTGTTTATATCAATTTGGTTCTTGTAATTTTAATGCATCAATTTTACCTTTCGATTTTGCACATGGTATCAATTTAGTCTAATTGATAATATTTCATTTAGAAATTGGACTAAAATTGAGAGACAAAATGGTTTTTTTAATTCCCTTCAAAGTTATTGAAGGATTCGCATCCAATTGGAAATGATTCATTCTCTTTTTAGTAGTTCATTTTGCCTTTGATTTTTATTCAATTTTTTAACTGATATTATCGCTTAGACTAGATTGACACAATTTGAAAATTTAAAGGGCAAAATTAATATTACAGAAACCAAATTGACATGAGAGGCAAGTATAGAGACTATATGTATAATACTATAGGTATAATTTGCCCTATTTCTTTTGACTAAAAATTTAGCTAAACTAATATGAATTGGGCTGTGATTTTGCGAACTTTGAGCAAATTATTTAAAGGGTAAAATACCAATTAGTCATAATAGTTGGCCTTGATTCCTATCAAGTAGTATTGAAAATAAGTCCTTGTAAAATTGTCTCTAAAAATAATTTTTTATAACTATTTTTTGCATATGTTGCTAAAAATTAACAATTAGTGATTTTTTTTTTTTGTTATGTTTTTTTTTTTATAAATTGTTGCTAAAACTTACAATTACTGACATTTTTATGTGATGATTTTTTCAAACTGTCACTAAAAGTTATAAATTAGTGACTTTTTTTGTGATGATTTTTTTAAACTGTCATTAAAAATTATAATTATGACAATTTTTTGTGACAAATTTTTCAAATTGTCGCTGAAAATTAACAATTAATGATTTTTTTTTAACAGTGTTTGATGAAAAATGCTATTAATTCTCACAGGACATATTGGACAATAAGTCTACATATTAAGACTTATACGCAGGTTTCTTATTTAAAAATATTAAGATTGTATTTTGGATGGAAAAATTTAGGGGAAATTATACACACACACACACAAAAACAAAAAAAAGACCCTCATAACAAAATAAACCATGAATTTTAATTTTGTCAATTTAGAACCTGAATTTTTAATTTATTTTCAATCTGAATCATTTGTGTATTTTTGTTAAGTACAATCGTTAGAAAAATAGATATATTAGTCATTAAACTCAATGAAAATGGGTATTTCAGACATTTTATGTACCTACATTGAGTTTCATAACTAAAATACTATTTTGTTCTGATCATTTTTAGTTAACAAAAGTAGACAAATGATTTAGATTAAAAACAAATTAAAAGATTATGGTTTAAATTGATAAAATTGAAAACTCAAAGTTTATATTGTTGCAAGGGTCAAACATTGGAAATTTTTTTTTTTTTGGTGGTAATTATCCCTAGAATTTAAAATAAAGAGTTTTGAGGTTAAGGAACAACCATTAGTTCATATAGTTTAAATGAAATGTCAGTTTAGTCAATGCAATTTCAATTTAAACCCTATATTTTTAATTTTGTTGCAATGTGGTCTCGTTGTCATTCACCATTAGAATTTTGCACGGATAAATGCCACATGCAAAACTAAACTTACGTCATTTTGTTGCACACCCCCAAAAAAATAATTTTGCAACAAAACGCAAGAGCAAAGCATAGAAGCACGGGAGAGAAGACCTATAGGCAAAAGAGAGAGAGAGAGGTGCTTGATCGATACTACCCCTCCACTATCTAACAACCGTACTACCCCCGCTAACACCAGCACTGGTGAGATCGAGATAAAGATAGAGATAGAGAGAGCTTGCGGTGGCAATGGTGGCCAAGTAGGGGCGGGTGGGGGTAGATACGGGTTAGAGAGGCTCGTCGGAGTTGAGATGGAGAAAGGATTGGTAGGGGTGGGTCTACAGTGGGAAGATGAGGTAGATCTCGCAGGTGCGGGGTCGCCAGAGATGTTAATAGCAGATTTTGGGAAAGGAGAGGGAGGGGAGAGAATGGGAAATGAGGGGTGATTGCCAGAGGTCGTCATGGTAGTCGATTGTGAGAAAGGAATGTGAAAAAGTGCTTTGTTTACACTGTGGGTCTTCTTCTCTCTGGCTTTTTTTTCTTTTTTACATTTCGTTTCATTTCATTTTTTTGGTATGCGCACCAAAACGACGTTATTTTGGTGCACTACACAAACACTACAAGGAAAAACACTACAGAAGATCTTTACTCGTGTGAGTAGCGATTCCAAAGAGATTTTTACAACTTACAAGGTTTTTGTTTTACTTAGAATTCTTGGGAAGAACTTTTGAAATGATTAGTTTTATAGTGTTATTTTGTAGGGTTAATTATCTAAAAGTCCTATTGATAAAGGTTGATATTCCATTAAGTCTTTCTTCTTTTTGTTTTAGGGTGATTCTATTTACACACCACAAATCCTTTTAGTACACATCACCTGCTCAGTTCACACCACACACAAATGAAAGCTTTTAATTTTGTCTCCAGACACACCACTAATTTTTAAATAATACCAAATTATTCTCATAGTCTCCGACCCTAACCCTAACCCAAAACCTTGTCCATCGCTAGCTGTCAGCCACCGACCTCCACCCTTCTCCCCTCCTCGTTACAACCCTCATCTTCGCCCCTACCACCACTGCCCTACCACCATTGCAACCCTCATTGAAGTGATGCACAATCGTCGCAATCCCACAAATCTCTCTCTACGGACTACACATGGTTGGTCATCAGATGTAGGCAAGTTGCGATGGTGGTGGTCTCTACGTGATGAGAGGCATGATGGTGATAGGCCATTGTAATGGTGGTGATTACGGGATGGTGGCGGCAGCGATGGACTGGGAAGGCGAAGCGGCAATGACAGCGACAGCAGAGTAATGAAGAAAAGTTGCTAAGGAGGGTGGTGATGGCTGCAATGACAGAATGAAAGAAAAAGGAGAGTGGTGAGAACAATGATAAAGATGACTTTCTGATGGTGGTGGTTGGCCAATCGGTGATGGTTGGTCCGTGGTGGTGGCTGTCAATAGGTTAGGTTAGGGTTTGTTGATGAAGGGATGAAATAGAGATGAAGGCAATTTGGATACTTGATTAAAGGATAAAATTGTAACTTAAACATTATAAATAATGGTGTGAACTGAGAGTAATTGAGGTGTAAATAGATTTTTTTTTTTTTTTTACAAGTAAGTACTCAATTTTTTTATTTATTTATGCAAGTACGAAATTTACAAAAGATGTGACCTTTCACTTGAGAGGATTGTATCAGATGTTGTAATTTATGTGTTTTTAAACTTTTTTTGGAACTTGTGCTACAACCCTACTTTGCAAAGAACAATATGCAAATGAATAAATTTATTTTTAAATATCAACATTTTTTTTGCGTTTTCTTACCATTAAAAATTTCATAAACCCCTTATTCAATTTGCATAATTTTTTTCTGAAAAAAATCAAAAATTAGTTTGGTGAAAAAAAAAAAAAACTCATTATTTTGATATGGTTCTCTTTTTGGGTGAAAAATAGTTTTGGAAATTTTAAAATTTTAATTTTGGTAATTATTATTTTTAACAAACTAATTTTTAATTTAAAAAAAAAATTAATTAAAAATAAGTTGAAAATAACGCTACCAAATAAAGTTTATCTAATAATGTATCCCATGCGCAGACGAAGAGATCTAAGTTTATTTATACTAAAAACGAAAGAGAAAAAAAAGTTAAATAAAAAAAAATCTCATGGAGCACTTTGTTTGTTTGTTTATTTGTTTTCTTTTTAAACAAAGTAGCGCCCAAGGTTGTGTCGAGTGATTATGATAAATTTTAGAATAAAATTAGGAGGCTCTCTAGATTATTATTATTATTATTTATTTACTACTACGAGAGAGTTATGGATATTTATAATGTGTACCATCAAACAAAATATATTTTGTAATGAGAAAACAATTATACCATTTTATTATTTATGTCACAATATTATAGTGTTACTAAAATTGTATTTGTTATTATATATATATATAAAAGTGTATATAGATATAGATATAGATATTGAGATAGATATTATAAAAAATAATAATAATTAATAAATAAATAAAGTTTTGATGGGAGAGCAGAGACCACGTGGGGTGCTCCCCCCTTTTTTTGGCTAAATTACACTGACATTTTTGAGATTTCTGTTTAATATAAATCCCTTTATATTTGAAAAATTACACTCACTTTCTTGTCAAATTAAAATGACATAATTGTCCTTTAACCTTTATACATATAAAATAATAAAATAATACAAATATTTTATTCATCTCATTTCAAAGAAAATAACAATCATCTTCTTTGATTTAACTCACATAAAAATTAAGTTTGTTTATTTTTACTATTTTTTTTTAACATTTAAAGCAAAAAATTTTTTTAAATTTTTTTAGATACAACTAATTTAGATATACTTAAGAATTATAATATTTTTTGATTTTTTTTTAAAATTCACCAAATACAAAAAAATAAAATAAAAAAACAAAATTCAATACATTATCTTATTTTGTTGTATTTAATGATTTTTTTTTGAGTTATATAAATTTTATACTTTTGTTATGATGGTGTTGTTATAAATATAAATCATGTTTATTTGTGTTTTGTTTTAAAGTGAAATGTGAGCTATCATTGTGTTTGAAAATTCTATATAAAATTTATGTTTGTATATTATTACTGAATAATAATATGTTTAAGTAGAATTTAATGATGAAAAGTTATAGAATAAAGTTATAATGATAAGAAGAAAAAATGGTAAGAAAAAGGACAAGATGTTCATTTAGAAAATTTTAGAGCATGATAGCAGCAATTTAAGAGGTAATTTGTTATGAGATTACAAATCTCAGATAGAAGAATATAATTTTTCAAATGTGAGGAATGAATTTGTATCAAACATAAATCTTAGGGGTATTAGTGTAATTTACTTATTTATTTATTTTTGTGGTAAGATAAGGCCCAAGCCAAGAAAACAAAAGCTTAGTTCAAAAAAAGAAAAAAGAAAAAAATGAAAACAAAAGCTAACAATTAACTACTAGAGAGATCAAGCAAACAAAGTTGCTTATCCTCTCCCCCATCAAACCCGACAAAGCTAATCACGGTGTTTGATTTTAATTTTTAAATTTAATTTTCATATTTTTTAATTTTTAGTGAATATTTTTAAAATATTAAACAATTTTTTTTTTTTTTTTGTTTTTACATTTTTAGATGTACCTTACTTAGATGTATCTAAAAAATAAAATTTTTGAAAAAAAAAATCAATAAATACACAAGAATATAAAAATGTATTGAATTTTCGTATTTTTTAAAAAATATTTTTGGTATTTAGTGATTTTTTAAAAGATTTTTTTGCACAAATATTTTACTTTTTAAGTGTATTTATGTTAGGTGTATCTAAAAATTAAAAAATTACTTAAAATATTAAAAAAATTCAGTGAAAATAAAAATAATAAAAAACAAAAAAAATTAATTTTTTAAAAAATTAAAAAAAATGAATTTCAGTGGAACCAAACAAGCTGAATGGTATTGAAGAAAGAAACTCTTGCTGCGTAGATCAATGAGGGGCATTTTTTTGCCCAATAATGTGAAGTTCACAAATCCAATCATTTCTTTCTTTCCTTCCATTTTTATCTTCTCCATCCGTCTCTCTCTCTTACTTTCTTTTGTCTCTCCCTTTTTTAAATAATTTTTTTATTATCACACAAAACATTCGATCCACCATATCTAGAGTTAAAATCTCACCTTACTATTTTGATACGGAATATAAAGTGTGTTGAGGGTTTCGTTTGACCTGAGCCAATCGCGTTTTTGATGCATTTGATTTTGAGACTTTTCTTCTCCTCTTTGTATATTTGTTTTACCTTGATTGTGTGGTATTTTTTGTTAGTTATGATTTTGAAGAAATTGAGGTCTTTTATTTTTTATATATATATACATATATTGTACAAAAATTAGGATTTGCTAATATTTTATCAAATGTTTAAAATTCTCTACCCAAAATGATATATGGTATATAAATTTCAAAGTGTCATATTCAAGATTTTAAAAAGCGAGTGCAACCATTACTAATGTCGTTATGTAACGATTGTAGTGGTTATCGCTACCCGTTATGACCGCTATAGTGGTGTGACAGAAATTCATGACCGCAATGGTTGCCGCCTTTACGTAAAGGCCGTAGCGGCCGTTACATTGCCGCTATAGTACTGTTACAGCCGTTAAACATATATATATATATATATTATTTTTATGTAAATTTTGCGTATATTGCTATTTTCCCTTTTTATTTTCTAGTTACGTAGAACGTAAGTAAAAATCTTATCTATATATATTTTGATTGTCCAATCTTCAAGTTCTACAGGGTTTAATTACTTTTTTACTTAATTATATTTGAATATGAACTTAATATATTTATCTTATGTTAAATTTATTGAACAAAATTTAGATTTGATGTTACGTACTTTTACATTATTATGTTTGACATTTTGTATTTTGAATTTCTATTTGTGAGACTATTGTTTTTAATATTCATTTTTTTTAACAAATCAGAAAAGTTATCCATAATTATAATTAGTAAAGTAACAAAAATTAAATAAATTCGACAATAGGAAAATTTTTCTGAGCAACTTTAAACTAATATAAAAGTTAGTATATATATTGGATCATTTTTTAAAACTCAACAAAAATACTAAAAATCATTTTGAGCCTCACTAAATGTGATTCTGAAATAAAAACATGTATATCGGTATGCTTTCTTAAAGTTGTGCAAAGAATTAAAAAATTCACGACTCCAGCTGCCGCCATCGTTACATAACGGCAGTTACACCCCACAACCGCGTCTGCATTACCGCTACCATTTCAGTAACCGCCACCATTATTTAAAAATTTGGTTATATTTAAATTGAGAAAACTCTAAATTTTTTTCAAACCCTAGAAAATTTCAGAAATTAAAAATGTGATTTTGATTAGGATTAAATTGTTGGAATAATGTGAAAATGGGTGATTTATTATGGAGATTGTGAATTTCCTTGGAGATATTAGTTATCTTGAATTTATTGGATTTATTGGAAATAATAGAAATTATGAAATATGGGATATATGTTGAGAGTAACTGATGAGTTTATTGGAATCTCATACTATTTTGGAATTATTGAGAATGTTGAGTTATGCTCTAAATATATTTTCTTATTGGAATATTTTGTTACAGATTACTGTTTATGCATCCATTGCACTTCCATGGCCTTGCATGGAGATTGTGCTATTATTTTGAAAATATTGGAAATGTTTATAACGTGGTAAATCTAAATAAGGGATGTAATTGTGGATTTGAGAATTAAGTTGGTTTGAGAGTCATGGTAAAAGTCCTAAAACACGAATGGAATAGGTATCAATTTCCTTCTGGTTAGTAGCCGTTAAAGTGGTATTTGGTAGTGCTTGAGAGCCTACTTGTAGACACGTACTAGGAAATTCCAATGTCTTATTTAGGCCTTGTTTGGGAAGTTGGCTATTTTAGTAGGCTATTTTAGTTTTTGACTATTTTAGTAGGCTAAAATTTTTGTGTTTGGGAAGATGGTTGGATTTTTTTGTTGTTAGATGTGATGTTTGTGAGAGAAAAAATGAAATGATTATGGGTTTGATGTGACAGTTTATCTTATTGGCTATTTTAGCCTTTTATCTTTTTGTGAATTTTAGCCTAAAAAGTTCAATTTTAGCCTTTGCCAAACAAGGCCTTGCTGGTCCGATGTTTTGAAATGAAAATGTTGAAATGAATATTATTTTGAAAGTTGTGCATTGAGCATCCTAATGAAAAAAAAAGAATAAAAAAAAAGAAGCTTATATTTTAAGCATAGCACACATCATTGCATTCATGATCATAATCTTGTTAATCTCATATACATTGTTAATATTATATCTACTAGGCATTAGTGTTCATCCCTTCGTGGAAAATCATTTTTAGTTGTTGGTGATTTGCCTCCGCCTCGTTGAAGGCTCGTGATGTGATTTTTGGAGCATGAATGCTCCTTCATTTTGTTTGCTTATTTTCGTAAAGCATTGCTTTATATGTTTGGGTAGAGACCCATTCTTTTTGTAATAGGGTTCTAACATTTGTAACTTGTAATCCATTAGGGCATTTAAATTTTGAATATTTATGTAGTATTACATAACATGTTATAGATCCATGCTTTGGAAATTGTGAATGTGTAATCGTATGTAATCTCTTTTGTAAATCTCAAACTATAATGAAATGAAGTACAACAAGAAAAGAGAATTATTTTGTATATGATTATTGTTGAATCTTGATAAGATTTTTGGCTTCCGCATGTTAATTTGATTTGATTTGAAAATAAATAAGGAATACGAGTTTGATTTGTTTCATCGAATTTTATGAAAATTGGAGCATTACAGGTGGTCTTCAATGCGTTGAAAAAGCTAGAACTAAGGGAAATGCCCGCATTGACACATTTGTGGAAAGGTCCTACTCAACTTGTACGACTTCACAACCTCACTTTTCTAGAACTGGAGAGATGTGATAAACTGGAAAGCATGTTCTCATTATCCATAGCCAGAGATCTGATGCAACTAGAGATACTTCGTGTATCTAAATGTCGTAAGTTGGAAGTACTTATTTCGAGTGAAGAAGGAGATGAAAATGAGATAGCATCAACAACAACAGAAGCAACAGATAAAATTGTGTTTCCTAAACTAGAGGACTTGTATCTCCACGACCTGCCAAGTTTTACTGCTATCTGCAAGGCTATCAATGGAATTGAGCTGCTGCAATTGAACAAGCTAATACTCAGCCAGATGCCAAAGCTCAATAGTTTTTGTAATGCTTCGACTAGCAATTACGATACTATTGAACCTCTCTTCAATAAGGTATGCTTCTTTGACTTAAGCTTATTTATTTATTTTAGCTTCATCGCTATGGGGCGTCTATAAATTTAGTTAATATTTTGCTATTTTCATTTGACTTTTTCGGCTACAATGAGAACACAACATATTTTGGATTGAATATGTTGTTGGATGCAAAAATAAAAACGTCAAGCTACACTTGAAATTAATCAGTATTTATGAACAAATTTCTCTTTCTATGCGTCGTATTTCTTTAGACAAATTACATTTAATTCTTTGAGTTTGTTTTATATCAATTTGGTTCTTGTAATTTTAATTGCATCAATTTTACCTTTCGATTTTGCACATGGTATCAATTTAGTCTAATTGATAATATTTCATTTAGAAATTGGACTAAAATTAAGAGACAAAATGGTTTTTTTAATTCCCTTCAAAGTTATTGAAGGATTCGCATCCAATTTGAAATGATTCGTTCTCTTTTTAATAGTTCATTTTGCCTTTGATTTTTATTCAATGTTTAAAATGGCTATAATCACTTAAACTAGATTTACACAATTTGAAAAATTAAAGGGCAAATTAATATTACAAAAACCAAATTGACATGAGAGGCAAGTATAGAGACTATAGGTATAATTTGCCCTATTTCTTTTGACTAAAAATTTAGCTAAACTAATATGAATTGGGTTGTAATTTTGCGAACTTTGACCAAATTATTTAAAGGGTAAAGTACCAATTGGTCCTAATAGTTGGCCTTAATTCCTATTAAGTACTATTGAAAATAAGTCCTAGTAAAATCGTCGCTAAAAATAATTTTTTATGATGATTTTTTGTATGTCGCTAAAAATGAACAATTAGTGCCTTTTTTTTTGTTACGTTTTTTTTATAAATTGTTGCTAAAACTTATAATTAGTGACATTTTTATGTGACGAATTTTTCAAATTGTCACTGAAAGTTAAAAATTAGCCACTTTTTTTGTGATGATTTTTTTAAACCGTCGTTAAAACTTATAATTATGTCAATTTTTTGTGACAAATTTTTCAAACTGTCTCTGAAAATTAACAATTAGTGATTTTTTTTTTATAAAAGTGTTTGATGAAAAATGCTATTAATTCTCACACGACATATTGGACAATAAGTCTACATATTAAGACTTACACGTAAGTTTCTTATTTAAATATTTTGGATGGAAGAATTTAGGGGAAATTACATACACACACACGCACACACACAAATGACCCTTGTAACAAAATAAACCATGAATTTTAAGTTTGTCAATTTAAAACCTGCATTTTTAATTTGTTTTCAATCTGAATCATTCGTCTATTTTTGTTAAGTACAATCGATAGAAAAATGGATGTGTTAGTCATTAAACTCAATGAAAATAGGTATTTTGGACATTTTATGTACCTACATTGAGTTTAATAACTAAAATACTATTTTGTTCTGATCATTTTTAGTTAACAAAAGTAGACAAATGATTTAGATTAAAAACAAATTAAAAGATTATGATTTAAATTGATAAAATTGAAAACTTAGAGTTTATATTGTTGCAAGGGTCAAACATTGAATTTTTTTTATTGTAATTATCCTTAGAATTTAAAATAAAGAGTTTTGAGGTTATGGAACAACCATTAGTCCATATAGTTTAAATGAAATGTCAGTTTAGTCACTGTATTTTCAATTTAAACCTTATATTTTCAATTTTGTTACAATGTGGTCTTGTTGTCATTCACCATCAGAATTTTGCATGGATAAATGCCACATGCAAAACTAAACTAACGTCATTTTGTTGCACACCCACAAAAAAATAATTTTGCAACAAAACGCAAGAGCAAAGCATAGAAGCATGAGAGAGAAGACCTATAGGCGAGAGAGAGAGAGAGGTGCTTGACCGATACTAACCCTCCACTATTTGACCACCCTACTACCCCTGCTAACACCAGCACTGGCGAGATCGAAATAGAGATAGAGATAGAGAGAGCTTGCGGCGACAATGGTGGCTGAGTAGGGCAGGTGTGTAACGCCCTCAAAATAAACCCATAATAACCATAACATTAACATGCATTTATAAAAGAAAATGAATCATTTGAGTTAGTCATCAGAGTATTCTTATTGACAGACTTTACTTGTAACATCCTGCAACATCAAAATAAATGCCCTAAGGGCTTACATCTTTCCAAGCTAACACTTGGACACAAAAAGGATGAGTACTAACTCATTTACAAGTTAAGCCCTAGGCTTGAATGTTGACATGAAATCTCAAAAAAATAACAAAGTAAAACATATAACTAAAGACAAGTCTTCAAAATCCCAAACACCATATCCTTCCAGGCTAAGTCCGTGGAGGTAGCTTATCACCTGAACCTAAAAATGATGTTCCCATAAAGGGTGAGCCACAGCCCAGTAGAAAAATACTAAACCAAATATAAGCATAGAATAAAGCTATAGCATTCAATAGATGGTTAACCAAGATAATCAACTATAACTTAATACAGTCTCATGACACTAATGTCTATGACATGTTTCAATTCCCATTATTATCAATATGGCTCAGAACCTGGCCAAACTTACAACAGTGAACTATATATCATATTTACATTACTTCCAATATCAACAACACATATGAGACTCAGGCTCATATCAAAACACTTCATATTTCCCGTTTGATACACATTGTAGTGCTGTATCAATAACATGTAAAAACACTTCAATATAATAAGCACACATTGTTTCTTTTCCTTCTTTTACTATAACAAATATAAATTATATCTAATATCCTTCACAAATTAGCCCACAAAAAATAAATAAAAAATAAAAAATAAATTTATAAATATATATATATATATAATCGTATAAAATTATAATATAATTAAATCAACTAACAAAATATAATATTTAGGTACTAATTACCCACTATCCTACTCCTTAAATGTGCGTGTCCTATGCTCCAATGATGATTTATTTATTTTTTTATAAACCATTGCTCTGATACTATTTGTCACGACCCGCTCCTCGTACCCAAGGGTTAAATATCGTGATAGCCAGTAATTGAAGTTACCTCTGGCCAATTCTTGAACAAATTAATAAACGCAAGCGGAAATAATATTTAAGTGAGAGTACCAAAACAATCATCGGAGTTTCTATTTTTATTACAAAATTTATTGACCAAAAAGGCCGATATTTACATATAAAAATATCACAAAAGTGCTGTGTGTGTCTATTCCGCAGCCCCACGTCTAAGACTTTCCAAAAATTATTTTTGAATTGCATTGTTTCCTGAAAATTAGTAAACCGCTATAAGCACATGGCAGAGTGAGAAATATTATGCCAAGAGTATATGGGACACAAAATAACCATGTAACTAAACTATTTAAGATAACTTAATCTGAACAATTAATCATTTAAGTAGCAAAACTGAGATTATGTAAATAAATAACCATAACCACGGTACGGAATAAAATAGAACAGAGATCACATGAGTGACAGTTAGAACAGAGGTACGGATTCAATAGGTGGCTCGTACGGATTATAGAGGTAGCTCCCACAATAGTATAGCACTTATTTTCGCACAACACTTTGCTCCATTCAGAAAAGAGGTCAATAAATCCATGATAATAGAGGGTCACAAAGTGACCAAACAATGGCCAATGGTTATTTAAGTTCTCCAAAGTATGAGACTATGGTGGTGGTACTTACAAAACATAATTGTATATAAGGTCATAGTCAAATAATCATTAAAAGTTAAACAAACATATCCATGAGTTTCACTTTAAGCAAATAGGGTTCAAAAAATAATCCACGTAATTGAAATACTAATATAGTTTATAAAATATAAACTTGTATGTAATAATTTATGATAAGTCAAAACATATGTAAAATATATTATGATAACTCAAGGTATAATATAACTCACCTTAATATTAACCCTTAACCTTTACTTTTCATTATCACAAATCCCCTTATTTCTTAGTTTCCTATCTCAACTACCCCTGCATTTTTCTTCACTTTTCTTTTGTTTTTTCTTTCCTTTTTAATTTGGTTTCTTTTTAAATTTTTTTTTTTTTGTTTTTTGGTATGCACACCATAACAACGTCATTTTGGTGCACTAAAAATTAATGGGACTTGAAGGAACAAAAATCATGAGGGCTGCAATTAGCACCTACGTAATTTCTTTGGACCCCGCATTTCTTTGGAATAAGATTTTTTTTTAACTCTCCACTTAATACCAATTTTATCCATATTCATAATACTATCACACCCAAGGGCACACCCACCTAATTTTGCACACCTTCTATTCTTCTTCTCTCAGTAAATGATGAACAATTGAGAAACGATTGAGAGCAACAAACGATTGAGAGACGAATTGACTGTCTCTCTCTTCTCCTTCTCTCATAAACGATGGTCTCTTTCTCTTTGTCACCGTAAACAACAGTATCTTAGTCGGAAATCTCTTCGACGGTCTCTTTCTTCTTCTCTTAGGTAACCTCTAACTCCCCATCACATTTTTTTTTTGGGGGGTTTATTTCAAGGTAAAACCCTTGGTACAAGGGGTTTTAGAGGGAAAAACCCTCAGAAAAAATAGAAATAGAGGGAAAATCCTACAAAATGCAACCATTAGGTATTCCAGTGCCGAACAAACTGTTTATGTTCAACACTGTATTACTAAACTAAATGTTTCTATTCAGTATTGTATTACTGAACAGAACCTTAATAGTCGGCAAATAGTACCAAAACGAAAACAACCCAGAATCATAAATGCAAGATAGATAAACTTACCAATGCAATGCCAACCTCATCAGAGTTGTTGTCATCGTCCTCTATTACTCTATAAGTATCAACGAATGGTGACAATGGCCACAAATGTATAAACTTGGAGTCTGTTATAGGATTGTTTGCAACATTAACTGATTTGGAATACCGAACACATTTGAAACCACCGAACAAAACGTTAATTGATTAGGTAGTTTCAAATGTTTTTCATTGAAGATGAATACGTGGGTTTAGGACGGTAATGAAGAAGAATA